AAATGCTAACTAAAGGAAAAAATACTAGGACTTTTTTATTATCTAATTTCTTTAAAAGATTCATCACTGCAAAGCAGGACAAAATATACAATAAAAAGAAAAGACAGTCACTTCAATAAATGGTGCTGGGAAAATTGGAAAGCTATGCATAGAAGGATGAAACTCATCCATTCTCTTACACCATACCCAAAGATAAACTCAAAATGTATGAAAGACCTCGATGTGAGACAGGAATCCACAAAAATCCTAGAGTAGAACATAAGCAGTAACCTCTTCGACATCAGCCACGGCAATTTCTTTCATGACACGTCTCCAAAGACAAAGAAAACAAATGCGAAAATGAACTTTTGGGACTTCATCAAGATCAAAAGCTTCTGCTCAGTGAAGGAAACAGTCAACAAAACAAAGAGGCATCTCACAGCATGGGAGAAGATATTCGCAAATGGCATTAGAGACAAAGGGCTGATATCCAAAATCTCTAAAGAACATCTCAGACTCTACACCCAAAAAACAGATAATCAAGTAAAAAAAATGGGCAGGAGACAGAAACAGACACTTCTCCAATGAAGACATACAAATGATTAGCAGATACATGGAAAAATGTTCATCATCATTAGCCATCGGGGAAATTCAAATCAAAACCACGTGGAGATATTGCCTTACACCAGTTTAGAATGGCAAAGATTAACAAGACGTGAAACAACAAATCTTGGGGAGGATGTGGAGAAAGGGAACCCTCGTAAATGTTGGTGGAAATGCAAGTTGGTGCATCCACTTTGAAAAACAGTGTGGAGATTCCTTAAGAAATTAAAAATAGAGCTACCCTATGACCCTGCAATTGCACTACTGGGTATTTACCCCAAAGGTACAGATGTAGTGAAAAGTAGGGCCATCTGTATCCCAATGTTCATGGCAGCAATGGCCACAGTCACCAAACTGTGGAAAGAGATGAGATGCCCTTCACAGATGAATGGATAAAGATGTGGTCCATATGTACAATGGAATATTACTCTGCCATCAGAAAGGATGAATACCCAACTTTTGTTTCAACATGGATGGAATGGGAGGAGATTATGCTGAGTGAAATAAGTCAAGCAGAAAAAGTCAATTATCACATAGTTTCACATACTTGTGGAGCTAAAGGAATAACATGGAGGATATTAGGAGAAGGAAAGGAAAAGTGAAGTGGGAGAAACTGGAGGGGGAGATGAACCTTAAGAGACTGTGGACTCTGAGAAACAAATTGACGGTTTTGGAGGGGAGAGGGGTGGGTGATGCATGAACCTGGTGGTGAGTAGTAAGGAGGGCATGTATCGTATGGAGCACTGAGTGTTATACATAAACAATAAATCATGGAATGCTGCATGAAGAACTAATGACGTATTGTATGATGACTAACAACACAATAAAACTTTTTAAAAAAGGATATGTCACTGTCCACACAAATAGAGTAACTATGTATGCTGGAATTTCTGACAAAGGTAAAATAATATGTAGGAAAATCACAGTGAATACGCTGAGAGGTGAGACACAGAAGGATGTTATCAGGTGCTTACATTCCATGTAATGTGGCAGCATCATCAGAATGTAGACTATGGCAAGTTACTGATCATAAGACAGAAAGAACTTACAGCTTGTAAGCAGAAGAAGTAGATAAAATGGAATCATAACAAATGCTCCATTAATGCAATTAAGATACATGAAAAGAGGAAAAAGAACACATGGGACAAGAAGAAAATAAAGGCAAGAGATGCTATATTGAAAAGACAGTACTAATCACATTCAGGAATGCTCTAAACACCACAATTAAAGACAGGGATTGTCAGATTGATGTCACAGCAACACCCAAGTGGCTGCTGCTGATGGGAAACTTCCAGTAAAGGAAATGACTCTGAAATCTAGGAACATTTGAGGACAATTCCCACCCAATTCTGCTCCACAATGTGAGCCATCAAACATTCACAGAGAACAGAGAGAAAATCTGGGAAGATGAGTTGAATCCTTAAAATAATTAGGATGAACACTTCCTGTTATGTATTTTACATAGAGAGAAGGGAAGAAATAAACTGAGTGCACATTTCATGAGAGCAGGACAAGAAATGCCCCCACATGTCCCTTCCTTACCCAGGCTTAATGATGTTCAAACACGCAGTGGCAGGAACTCCCTCTGCAGCCAAGAGAGGAGCACAGCTCCACTTGAGCCAGATCCACAAAACTCACCCAGAAGCACAGAGATTCTCTCCAGCAGTGGGAGAAGGAATATCTTCAAGGGGACAAGTGAGGACATGAGGGAGGCTTGAGGTGGCCAGGGTCCAACTGGGGCTCAGGAGACAGAACTCTGGGTCCCCACCATAGCATAGACCATCTCCTGCTCCCCACACTATTCTCAGCCTGGGTGCTGCCCTTGGGCCTGCCCACAGGCTCAGCCCCCACAATACTCAGAGCATGACATTGACTCTGAATTCACCCCAGGAGATGCTGTAAGGGAGGAACCCCTGAAAATGATCCCTACAGTTCCCTGAACCTGCACTCACTGTGGACCTCAGATGACTCTCTGACCCTTGTAGAATAGCCGGGACACCACTGGCACCATCACCTGCTAGGAGAGCACAGAAAAAAAAAAAACAAACAATAACGCAGAGCAGAGCCAGCAGGACCCAGGCCAGGCCTCTGCACAGCCAAACAGCCTCCACCCTCCACAGATTCTACAGCTCTAACCTCGGACACAAACCCACAGACTCTCCCCACATGCAGGCCAAGGGGATCCTTTAGAGAACAGCCAGTATGGGGATGGCAGTGAGTTCAGGACAGAAACCCTGCTGTCCAGCCTGGCCTCACCCTCCCTCCCTCCCATACTGCTCAAGTTCTGCCCTGAGGAACCTAGGAGACCAGCACACCTGGTCTCCACTTCTGGACTCAACCCACTTTCTTCTGTTTTACTGGGAAACTAGCTATACTGGTCCTCACCTTACCTACTGTGAAATGGAGAAGCTTAACGAATGTAATAAATACTTTTTTCATATTAAATGATACAAAACCTTTAAGAGTCTCTTCCATGAGAATGACTCAATGAGGTGTCAGTGAGCTCACCCTGGTGTAGGAGTTTCCTGTCTGCAAATGGGGGAATCCAAGGAAAAGTCTTCAGCTTTTCCACTACACTGTGACCTTCTTCGTGTGCAGTTGGGTCCAGGTATGAATGAGCAGGATCCCATTTTTACCAAACCAGAGACCAGGCTAGTTTAAAAAGCCTCTCACACCAAATTCCAGGAGATGCAGACTGGAATAAGGGAAAAGAGGTAAAAACAGCTGTGATAACAATAAAATTAAAGGTTTGCCTCTTCAACTGAAGTTAGCACCAGAAGTATCACCTGTTGTTATGATTACCTCACTACATGGATAGGGATGCAGGAAGCATTAGTCCTGATTCCTAATAACACAGGAACCTGGTAGCTGTGGGATATCAAACAAGTTTGTCTGGACAATGACCCTTTTCAAATGCACTTGCACTGTAACCTGCACTCTCCTTTCTGAAACAAGACTGCAGGCTAAGCCAGACAATTTCAACCCTGTGAAAAGTACAGGAATCACACCAGCTCTGCGTCCTGCAACTAGTATGTGACCTTCTGCGCTGGGCAGGGTAGGGGTAGGGCAGCTTCCTAGGAAAGCCTTAAAACCCTGGTTTATACCCCTTCTCATGCAACAGGTGCTCTGAGGTGACCTGCAGGAGGGAAGCTCCTGGTCTGAGTCCTCCTCCACCAGCAGGGTGCAGCAGAGCTGCAGCAAGAGGAGCAGGACAGAGGCTGGGGCTGCCCAGGGGGAGCCTCACAGGGACACCAGGCCTGGAGGTCAGCAGGTTGTCTATGGTTCAGTCCTCAGAGACTGTCAGGATGATCCATCCTATCCCCTCAGGCTGCAAGGACCATGTTCTGAGAGTCAAACACACACAGTGTCAACAAGGACACTGCTGGGAGTCTTGACACAGAAAGCACCCCACCTGGGAAATTCAGGTCCCCTCTCTGTCCACCAGTGTCCCCAGGGACTGACACCCCTCTGCTGGGCACATCCAGAGACACCCAATGACTCACACTCTGCCTCTCCTTCCCCACCTCCACCCCAACTCAGACCTGGGGCTGCAGCTCCTTTGTTCAAGAGCATCTCAGGGGGCAGGAGGCAGAGCACTCAGGACCCTGGTCCCTGGAAGGAGCATCCACAGCCTCCTTCTGAGACTGTCTCCAAAGTTATGTGATTCTCATGGATGCAGGGACCATGGCTCAGGCCCTCAAACTCACAACATATAGGAACATGTAATCGTGTGGGTCCTCACAAGATCACAAATCTTGAAGTTGTTCCTCATGGACTCAAGCCCTTTGCACAGGTTTGCATGAAACCTTGACAAAAAAATTAAAAGGAATGAAATGGTTGATTATACCAATTGCTGGTCTGCTGTGGCATGGGGGCTGCATAGAGACAACAGCACCATGTGTAAATAGACTAGAAATCCTCATGAATCTCCAGCAGCAGCGGTTGTTCAACAAGTAAGCACCTACTTACAAAATGATAACAGAATCTCAAACTGAGAGAGTTTCCTATTTTGTTGTCATGCCAAGGATGGGACCACAGAATCTCTGGAGGATGCAGAGGGAACAAGAAGCCAGGAAAGGAGGTAATGAGGTCACAGGACCACCTTTCCCTGAATCTAGTGTTCTCTGTATTTCTCAGAGGGACCAGGCCAGCCCCATGGCCAGGATTCTGGAAGGCCCTGGGCCAGCCCCGGACATCCCTCAGGCAGAATGGGTAGGGACACTGGTTGTGTTCAAACCACAGGAATATGACTATGATACCAGATTTGGAGACCAATGCTCATTTTTCTGACCTGAGAGCTTTGGGAGGAAGCTATGAGATCCTTTGTTCCTCCTCAGTCACCTGGTCTGAGCTCACAAGTTGTTTGAGTCCCAGAGAGGAGGAAATTTGCATAATTACTAACAACCACAGAACAAAAGGCCTGGAAAGAAAGAAGAAAGGCCAGGGTGAGGCTGGCTCAGCTGTGGTTTTCAGAAGACAGAGCTCTGGGCACATCCACCATGGCCTGGACCCCTCTTTCACTCCTTGTCCTCACTCTCTGCACAGGTACTCTCTCCAGCCCACACTCTCAGCCCCACAGGACCTGAGCTGAGCCTGCCCTAAACTCTGAGCTCAGGCACAGCACAGCCTCAGTATTGGGACCATGGGATGAGCCCCTGGACCTCATTGCAACCTCTCCTCTCCTGCCTTTTCAGGCTCCGTGGTCTCCAGTGAGCTGTCTCAGCCACCCTTTGTGTCAGTGGCCCTGGGAAAGACAGCTACAATCACCTGCACTGGAGAAGAACTGGATTATGGTTATGTACAATGGTACCAACAGAAGCCAGGGCAAGCCCCTTTGACGGTCATTTATGGGGATAGTGAAAGGCCCTCTGGGATCCCAGAGCGATTCTCTGGCTCCAAGTCAGGGAACACGGCCACCCTCACCATCAGCAGCACACAGGCCGAGGACGAGGCTGACTATTTCTGTCAGTTCTATGACAGCAGTGCTGATGCTCACAGTGACACAAGCACATGGGGAAGTGAGACACAAACTCCTTCCCCATCTGTGTCACCCTCTCCTCCAGCCCCAGGAGGCCTGTGCACAGAGCAGTGAATAAGTCTGGTTGAGGTCCCCAAGTCTGTGGTCCCCAGTCTGTCCCCTTCCTCCCAGTCCTCCAGGCAGCCCGCACAGGATGGATCTGCAGGGAATTTGTAAACAGCTGTTAGAACTCCATTTCCTATGGGACTGTGTGTGGAGGAAGAACTACACATGTGAGAAGCAGAAATGGAAGACATTTTTTAAAGCACCATTCTTTTAAAACTTTCCTAGATGGGTATGTCTCAAATGCAAAAATCCAAGGGATAGACTGACAGCAGATATGATGCTGCAAAAGAAGAGATTAGGGAACTTGATGTCATAGCGATGGAAAGTATTCAAAACAAAACACACAGTGAAATACCTAATAAAATTAATGAAGGGTTGTTGCTTGGAAGACACCTTCATGCCAACTAGACAGTGTGCAAGTGTAGGGACTTCAGGGAGGGAAGGTAAGGGACTGGGAGTTAAATAAAAAGTCTGTGAAGATATATTCTACAAAAACACTTCAAATTTGGAGAAACCCAGGAATCAATGTATCCAAGAAGCTCAACAAGGCTCAGACACAGGGAGAATGAGAGACAGCACAACAAACATCTTGTGAAATTGCTACAAAACTGTGATGCAGACACTCTCACAGCCAGAGAGGATAGTCGTGTTCCCTATAGAGAACCAGCATGAGTGACAATGAAGGATACCCTCGGATAGAAGGAAAGGGTGACAGAGGGAAGTCTGAGACTACACAAAGTATAATAAGCTTGGAAAATCATAACTACATGGATTAACCTAAACAGAATTTAGTGGTCAATGTTTATAAATACAATCAAGTGCTAAAATAAAAAATAATAGCAATGTGATTGATTTATGTTGGAGGAACAGGTAAAATATATGAGGGAGATGAGACCAAGTTATCGTCCTTATCCTACATGTGAGTGATGTCATGTCACTGGCAGGAACTCTGTTAAGGTAGGAAGTGAGGACTGCAAATCCACAAGAAACCCACCACGGCCTGGAACCTCTCCTGCTCCCCTCCACACTCCCTTCCCAGGTGCTGGCCCAGGTGCTACCCATAGGCTCAGCCCCCACAGTACCCTGAGCAGTACATGCCCTCCATGATACCCACTACCTGGCTCCCCCAACCTCCCACCCCCTGCCCTTCAAAACCCTCAGGTTGTTTTTCAGAGTCGATAGTCTCTCATGGTTCACCTCCCCTTCCAATTTCCCTCAACTCCCTTCTCTTCTCCATCTCACTATGTCCTCCATGTTATTTGTTATGCTCCACAAATAAGTGAAACCATATGATAATTGACTCTCTCTACTTAAATTATTTCACTCAGCATAATCTCTTCCAGTCCCGTCCATGTTGCTACAAAAGTTGGGTATTCATCCTTTTTGATGGAGGCATAATACTCCATAGTGTATATGGACCACATCTTCCTTATCCATTCATCCATTGAAGGGCATATTGGTTCTTTCCACAGTTTGGCGACCGTGGCCATTGCTGCTATAAACATGGGGGTACAGATGGCCCTTCTATTCACTACATCTGTATCTTTGGGGTAAATACCCAGTAGTGCAATGGCAGGGTCATAGGGAAGCTCTATTTTTAATTTCTTGAGGAATCTCCACACTGTTCTCCAAAGTGGCTGCACCAACTTGCGTTCCCACCAACAGTGTAAGAGGGTTCCCCTTTCTCCACATCCTCTCCAACACATGTTGTTTCCTGCCTTGCTAATTTTGGCCATTCTAACTGGTGTAAGGTGGTATCACAATGTGGTTTTAATTTGAATCTCCCTGATGGCTAGTGATGATGAACATTTTTTCATGTGTCTGATAGCCATTTGTATGTCTTCATTGGAGAAGTGTCTGTTCATGTCTTCTGCCCATTTTTTTTACATGATTATCTGTTTTGTGTGTATATAAGTCCCCTGGACACGTTCAAGAGTGGCAAGAAGGCTCACCACTGTCTGCTGAATGTCACATTATCCACCTGATTTCATAAGGTGTTCATACATAATTTCCCTCTGAGGACACACTCTTGTGGATATTTTCATGAAACACAAATAGCCCTGTGTTCATTTGGGGATGGTGTCTACTCACATGTTTCTTCCTCAAACATCTTTCACCACTTTCCTTTTTGTGTTTCTTCCAACTCTCTAACCATCCAGCCAAACTGAGAGACAAACTGAGAGAACATAGGTTAGAAATAAGCCACTTCTGTTCTTCTCTCTGTCCAGGTGAATAAAAAAAGCACTCTGCTCAAATGTAGCCTTATTGAAAAAATTTCCATATTCCGCAGCGGTGTCCCAGGTGAGGGCTGCAGGACTACTATTGTTAATGAGCAAAGTTGCGTGCACATCACACAGGAACCTCTTAAACCAACCATGGTTTTTCCTCTGGATCAGCTGTTCATTGGATTGTCCCCACTGGGTCTAATTGTGCCAGACAGAGCAAAGACAATGCAGTATAGGTTGGGGTCCTGGCCATCAGGCCATTTCCTCATGCAACTGGCCTGTGCCTTCATGACATGGGGAAGCCTGATCTCAAATCTATCTCTTTTGTTGGATGATGGAGAGCTGCTGTGACTGTCCAATTCCCTGGCATGGTTGATCTGAAAACACTCATTTCATGCAGGCAGCTTGATCACATAGTAACTTAGTGGCTAATAAGGAGCATACAGTCTCTGTTAAGATTCAGTAACAAGCCAAACCATGTGTCAGTTAGAACTTTCAATAATAGATATGTAAAAAAAATTGGTAAGCTGCCCATATATTTCACTTCTATGAACACTGCCATTCACTGATATCAGTGTGTTCTGTCAAATGAGTCTGATTGCTAACTTGGTCCTGTCATTCATTATGGTAACAACACACCTAATCATTGGTGATAATTTGGAACTGCATGTCTCCTAAAAATGCAAAGACCCCCAAAACTACAACTTTGGCACCTAATCCAGAGTTCAGAATCTCTAAAAAACGTATGTGTTTATGCCATACGCAAGGGTATATATGTACACAAATACATCTCCAACATATACACGGCAGACACAATTTGTATATACATGCACAAGCACTCACAAGTATATTCATAAATATGTATGTGTATCAGTATATTATAGAAAGGAGTGTGTGACAGGAATTGGATGTCATGTGGAAACACACACACAGGTGCACCACACAGAAGCCACAGTGACTGTCAGCTACAAACAGGCTCCAGCGTCCCACTCAGTTTTCAGGGAGCTTCACATGGGGCTCCTCTTGTGACTCACCTTCCCTGGAAACATACAAAAGGGAATTCTAACACATCACACCTGTCATTCAGTTTTGAAATTATGGGAAAATATCACCTTGGAACTCAACTAGATTTGAATCACAGACACCTAAGTTACTCACTGTCCCTGCATCCTCAGACAAAGCAGACTCTTTCCATAGAACTGACTCTGAACACACTTCAGTTCTTGTCCCTTCTTTCCATCCTGGCATCATCCCCACAGTCCTTCTGCAGAGAAGCCTCCTCCAGCTTCTCCGCACACATGACCAGCCTGTCATTTTGTCTGGTATCACTTCATCTCTGCACATCAACCAACACTGTCCAGGTTCCTCTATCATTTAATTAATTGATTGTTTTGTATGAATTTTTATCCCAAATGGTCAGGAAGTTTTAATGAAATACATGCCCATC